ATGTGGGGCTGGACACTGGGGTGTGACACACCTGGGACATGTGGGGCTGGACACTGGGGGTGTGACACAGCTGGGACACGTGGGGCTGGACACTGGGGTGTGACACACCTGGGACATGTGGGGCTGGACACTGGGGGTGTGACACAGCTGGGACATGTGGGGCTGGACACTGGGGGTGTGACACAGCTGGGACATGTGGGGCTGGACATTGGGGGGACACTTGGGGGGGCTGGACACTGGGGTGTGACACACAGGACACTCCCACCACGTCCCCATGGCTGTGACCCCCACCAAACCAGACCCCACTCCCCCTTTATTCCCCATTTTCACACAGAAAAAATCCCAAATGAGCGATTTTCCAATATGTTTTACCCATTTTCTACGTTTTTTGCACAAAAATGGGGAGACAGGAAGGGCCTTGGGGAGAAAACGAGCGATTCTGGGCAACTTTGAAGGATGTGGGTGATAAACAAGACGGAAATGGAAAAAAACTGTGAAGATATCACCCAAAACCACCAGTTGGGATGGCAGCAAAAAGACCTTTTTGAGCAAAAAATGGGGGTTGGGTTAAAAAAATCCAAAATTAGTTGTGTAAAAACCAAAGGAAAAAGCAATACGAGTGTGGCACAGCCCCATTCCAGCAGGTTTTACCCCAAATCAGGTGTGGAGCAGCCCCAATTCCAGTCACCCCAGGACAGGGTTTTGGGGCAAAAGCAAAAAAAAGGGCAAATTTTGGGAGAAAACCAAAAAAAGGGACATTTTTTGGGAGCAAAAAAAATTTAAAAACAAACAAAAAACCCCAATTCTGGGTGAGAAGCAAAAAGGAACCAATTTTAGGGTTAAAAAAGAAAAGAAAAAAGGGCTCAATTTGGGGTCAAACCAAAAAAATACCAAATGTCCACACGAAATAAAAGGGAAATTGGGTCCAAACTTGCTGTAAAATCCCCAGTTTTGATGATTTCTTTGCCCTTCCTGCTTAATTAATGGAATCATCATTAGGGCCCCTTGCTTAATTAAAGCCCCCCACTTCATTAGCAAAAATAACTCAAGAACCCCCTGCTTCATTACAACCCGCCCAAGTTCATTACGAAGGCTTAATTAGGGCCCTCTGTTTAATTACTGGGGCATCATTGGGATCCCCTCTGGACTGGGAGGGTGTTAGGACCCTAATTAAGGCAGGGGTTCATTAAAGCCCTAATTAAGGACTCACAGGTGTGAAGAAGTTGAGGGGGTGCAGTTGCTCCTGGGCTGGAGTACCTCAGTGCCATGGCCAGCAAAATGGGGTGAAAAACAGCTGCTTTAGGCAAAATAACCAATTAAATTCTAGCAAAAATGTAGTTTTTCTTAAAGCAAATTCAACTAAAATGTGGTTTTGGTAGGACTGACCTTGTTGTAGGCCCTGAAGAGAAACGCCTGTACCACGGTGTCTTCTCGGGGAGGAGAAAAACAACAGGAAAATCATTTTTTGGGGGAAAACCGCTCAGTTTGGGGGTTCTGGAATGTGGGGGGGTGGGTTTAGCCCGGTTTGGACGGTAGCTCAAAAATCCCCACAAGAATTAGCATTTAACACCCATAAAACTTCAAGTGACCCTAAACCCAATCTTTTTTAACGCCTAAAAAGCCCTAAATTCCCCCCAAACCAGAATAAGAGTTTAATCCCCAAAAGCTCAGAGTGACCACAGCTTTACCTCTGTCTCGTACCTCTCTGCCTCAGTCATGCTGCAGAAATTCCCTTTTCCGCCCCAAAAAGGGGTCGAAAACAACACTGTCTGGTCTCCCCACGAGAAAAAAAAAACATTAAAGTTTTCTTTAAAATTCATTTGTGTATTTCAGTAAGATTTAAGGCGCTGAGTTGATTTTCTGATGCCAAAATGGAAAGGCGGGAAAAAAAATCCCCTCAGGAGCTCCGGAGCTTTCCCGCCTTTTTCCTTCGCCTCAGGGAAGTTAACCCCGCCCCTCCCCGGGAGCCGCTTTCTATAGGCTGTGAGGGCGCTCCGCCAGCCAATCAGAAGGCAGAGATAGAATAAGCCACGCCTCTCTACCCAGTTGCTGCTTTTTAAAGGCGGGGCGGCGGGACGCTGCGCGGGATCATCCAATCAGAGGTGAGGAGCGCAGAGCAGACGTCGCTGATTGGCTGGGTGCCGTGAGGGGAGACGTGTGAAGGGAGGGGCGGCCGCGGCTCGGGTGAGGGGTTTGGGGGAGTTTGTGAGGAGGGAAGGCGCTCGGGGGAGGCGCTGAGGTCACACAGCATCGGGTGTGGCGCGCGGTACGAGCGAAAGGGGGGAAAGGGACAAATCCGGGTCATGTTGGGCCTCCCCAGGGAGCCCAGGGGGTCGCTGCCCTCGCCCGCGCCGCCCCTCCCTTAGCAACAGCCGCCGGCCAAGCGGCGTCGCGCGCGGGATTTTTCTGATTGGCCGA